TCTCGTTCATGGAACGAATCGAGAGGGGATTTTGGCTTTGGTCCTAACTGTTTAAAGGTTTGACCAAGATGGGAATTTGAGACGATCCTAACTGTTTAAAGGTATTATTCAACTAAAAGTGGACCTCTCGTTCATGGAAGGAATCGAGAGGGGAATTTGGTTGTGGTTTAACCAAGTGGGAGTTTTGAGACGATCCTAACTGTTTAAAGGTTTGATCGTTCAATTTGTGAACCTCTCGTTCATGGAAGGAATCGAGAGGGGATTTTGGCTTTGGTCCTAACTGTTTAAAGGTTTGACCAAGATGGGAATTTGAGACGATCCTAACTGTTTAAAGGTTTGATCGTTCAATTTGTGGACCTCTCGTTCATGGAACGAATCGAGAGGGGATTTTGGCTTTGGTCCTAACTGTTTAAAGGTTTGACCAAGATGGGAATTTAAGACGATCCTAACTGTTTAAAGGTTTGATCGTTTAATTTGTGGACCTCTCGTTCATGGAACGAATCGAGAGGGGATTTTGGCTTTGGTCCTAACTGTTTAAAGGTTTGACCAAGATGGGAATTTGAGACGATCCTAACTGTTTAAAGGTTTGATCGTTCAATTTGTGGACCTCTCGTTCATGGAACGAATCGAGAGGGGATTTAAGCACCAATGAGAGTTTTGTGAGGGAAGATTGATCTAAAGAGGTGATCGAATCTCATCTCAGCAAAAGAGTATTCGGAAGTCATAGTAGGAGTTTAGTGTTTATCACTTTGTTCATAATGATCGGGGTTATCCTTAAGAATATTACATTTAACATTCTTCTGGGAACTTCCCGTTACATGAATTATCCACCCCCAGCTTTCTTTGCGAAACCGGGTTTAAAATTGTACTCAGTTGGATAATCGAGAAGCAGTTTATACTCATATACTCTTTGGAGTATGGGGAAACAGTTTATACTCGTGCACCCACTGGAGTTGGATGGTCGTCTTTACTCGACTTCTTTCGTCGTTATGATGCCGGAGTCAATTTCTTGTTTTTGAGTCCAAAGCAAATATTGGTGGGATGAAGAACCCTTCTGTGGTATGCACAGTAGTTTGGATCTGTAATCATCTTAGCACCCTCCTGATCTTTAATAGGCGGTAGCTCGATTTTGTCATTGGCGAGGAGGTATTCCAAGATGGCTGGAGCTTCATCATCTTCGAAAGAATACTCCTTTTGGAACCTCGGATCGAGAGTTGCGTTCACAGGAATTGTGGATGTCGTTGGTTGACCTCTCTCAACTTTCTTTCTTTTAAGAAAGTGCTCAGCTTGTTCACCCCGAGATTTTAACTCCTTCCAAGTGGTGGATGGTACGACCCCCAGAGCTTCCAGGACATCGATGGAGAGGTTATTGTGGCATGTTTGCAGGATGAACTCCTCTGTAATAGGATCTCTGCAATTCATTGCTTTGCCACGAAAGCGCTTGACAAAATCGTCGACTGGCTCTCCGTCTTTTTGCTTCTCCTCCAAAAGGGTTCCGATTGATACTTCGGTGTCATCATCGAAAAAGTTGCTGAGGAATAAATTTTCTATGTCATCCCAGCAATTGATGCTCCCTGGCATGAGCCGTCGGTACCAATCGAAGGCCGACCCGCGAAGGGTGCCAACGAATGACCGGACCATTAGAGCCTCATTTCCCGAGATCATGCCCAAATGAGACTTGAAATAAATCAAGTGCTGAATCGGCGAACTCTTCCCGTCAAACGGTGTGAAGTTAATCATGTTGAATTTTGCCGGGTACGGTATTGAATTCCATTCTCTTGGATAGGGACATGGAATACCCGTCCTCTTCACTTCTTGAGCCGTCATCAAAGCGTTGACTTTGTTTTCAAGCTCTTTCATTTTCCCGTCATCGTCTATGTCTTCATTCGAATGACGTTGAGGAGAATGAGTTAAACCACCCCCTGTAAGAGGTGCCATTGAACCACCCCCAATATCGTTATTGGGAGGATGTGTTAAACCACCCCCAGCGTTATTACTATTGGGAGGTGTATCAGCCATAATGACTTCATCCACCTCTGGATCACTGTCCTCTACAACATTCCGAGTGTGGTGGCTGGATTCAAATCGCTGATTGGACTCAGGAGGTTGAGGCTGTTGAGTTAACAGTTCTCTCATTTGTTGGATAGCCAACTTCATTTCTGTCTTCACTTCAGCTCTAATTTCTTCACGTTGTTTGGCTAGAGCTTCCTGAAGTATTTGAGTGAACTGCGTGATCAAAGCGTTGATTTTGTTTTCAAGCTCTTGTATTTTCTTGTCCTCATCTTCACCTCTTTCTGAGTGATGTTGAGTAGAAATAATTGGGCCACCCCCAGTGTTATTAAGCGGTGAAATTGAACCACCCCCAATGTTGTTATTGGGAGGATCTGTTGAACCACCCCCAGTGTTATTGTCATTGGGAGATGTATCAGCTATAATAACTTTATCCACTTCTGGATCACTGTCCTCTACAACATTCTGAGTGTGGCGACTGGATTCAACTTGCTGACTGGACTCAGGAGGTTGAGGTTGTTGAGTTAGCAACTCTCTCATTTGTTGAATAGCTAACTTCATCTCTGCCTTCATCTCAGCTCTGATTTCTTCACTTTGCTTCGCTAGAGCTTCTTGAAGCATTTGAGCAAATTGATTAGAAGTGATTGTGAACACTTCTTTGGTTTGTCCCGTGCTAGACATTGTATCATCAGAAGCAATGGCTGAACAAGTGTCTGAGAATTCATCCTCTGAGGACATTCCCTCTTGCATTCTTTTGTAATCTCTGCGTCTGATGACTCCTAATTGTAGTCGAGACATCCTTTGAGCAATTCTTGGATTGACTTTTCCTCTGTGAGAAAAGTCAGGATTTGAGTCATTTGAATGCCTCTTAGACTTTCTCTTATCAGCCACGTTGATGGTGACTTCAGGGAATTCATCATCTTGAGCAGTTGATTTTCTCTTGCGGAAATGTCTCGGCTTAGGCTTCGACAATACAGAGACTCTTCGTGAGATGGCTTCTCGTTTAAAACAGTCACATTCTGATAATGCTGTTTTAACGAGTCGCGCACAGGAACGACGAGAGTTTATTTCTCGAATAACTCTCTTTCGAAAATTATTCACAACCCCAACTTGATAATACGATTCATCGGTATGAATGCCTCCTAAGTATGACGATATCATTTGATGAATGCGTCTTCTTCTTGGGGTGTAAAACCTTGTTGGCATTCTCAGGACAATTTATTTCTGTCTTTGAGCGATCCAAGGTTATGTCGGGAGTCGCACGTTTAAAACCACCCCCTTGTGGGTATGGAGTCTTAACGGGCTCTGAATGCTGATTTTGCACAATTCCAGTTTTTGGAATCCAAACTTGGTAGAATTTCGGCGGTTCTTTGGTCATCGTTTCCTTCTCCCTTTCTCGTCTTTGTTGTGAGAGAGCACGGGCAAGAGCTGCGTTTGCACGACGCTTTTGTATACGTTCTTCGAGGGTTGAGCGAGCCCTTTTGACAACAGTCCATTCCTCCGTCGTTATTTTAACAGGGCGCTGACGCTGTCTCTGACGAGCCCTCTTCGTCAGTACCGGTGGGCTTAGATTCGATGACTCTTTAACTAGATAAGAGTCATTGTGAGCAGAGGTGTTGCGAGTAAAACCCTTAGCAACAATCCGGAGAGAGTCTTCATTTTGTGCCTTCTTTGGCATGTAGGTCTTCCTTAATTGTGAGATCCTCTTGTATTTACGAGACAATGAAGATCTTGAAGAGGATGATGAGAGATATTCCTAAAATTTGGTTTGGTCGAATTCATATTCGACCGTGGATTCAACTGGAATCTTGATCGGCTGCGACACGACGGTCTCGGCAGCGAGACCGTTGGCTCCCACTGTGGTCGCCAGTTTGTTTTCGTCAAAAGTTGGTTTTCTTATGGAATTCATTATATCTTCGGTCGATTACAACAAATTCAAAAGAGATAGTCTTTTTATAAGACTTCTTTTACACAACAAAAGGAAAATTACAACTTTTTAGAAACAAACGCAGGATCGTTGTTTGGATCGCTGCTTGCGTGGGATCTTTGCCTGTGTCGGGAGCGCTTTGACTCGTGGACCACCAAATCACAGATTCTGATTGAACCGTGAGGGGTTTAATGATTCTTCCTTCGTTTATCGAAGTAAGAATTTGAAGCGAATATCTTATCGATGTAAGATGTTCACTCTTCTAAAGATCAAGTCAGAGCTTAGATCTCTAGGAATCGCCAAAAGCTTCTTGAGGATGTTTGTGAAGAAGGAAGACTCTCTCTTTTGCTCTAATTCACCAAAAGCTTAAGCTCTCTGCTCTAATCTGCTCTGGAAATCCTCCCCCCTTGTCAATGATGGCCATAGGGGGGTATTTATAGCCTCCTTAGACGATAACTGAAGAAATAGCTGGTCAATAACTGTCTCTTTAGGCGCGGCAGCTGATGCTGTCGCGGCTAAAGGGCGCGACAGTCCTGCTTTAACTGCCGCGGCACCATAGGTTGCAGCGGTTAAGCCGCGACACCATAGGCTGCCGCACCTTAGCCGCGGCACCTTGGTCTGCCGCGCCTTAACCGCGGCACCTTAGTCTGCCGCGCCTTAGCCGCGGCACCATGTCCTGCCGCGCCGCAAAGTGTTGCTTGATGACGTGTATATTGTTCTTCTATATCGTCTTGAGTGGTGTTTGAATGTCTGTAAGCATTTTTTGACGTCTACAATAAAGTCGGAGAAAAAACGGCCCCTTCATCAATCTCCTCTACCTCGTCCCGACGAGAACCCAGGAGAAACCGATCCAGTCCCGGATCAGAACCGATCCCATCTTGGATCCGATCGACTGATTGATCCCAACCATCAACAGTCAGCGGACGTGCGATCGAGTTTGCTGAACGTCTCGGACAGCTCCCTTGCTATTATCACACCTCGGCCGAGCAGATGATTAACATAAGACAACCCTTTGAATAATTGGTCTGAGCAATCTTGCACACGTTTGGGTCACCAGAATCTTGGTTTACCATGTAAGTACTTGTTTTTTAAGTTGGGTTTATTCGATATTGATCCCTGTTTCTGAGAGATTACCGCATCACGAGTTAATTAGATCTTGTCCGATTAAAAAAAATATTAACCGTAATGTTTTGTTACAAGAAATTTGAAACTAGGGAGCAGGAGGCAGAAGATTACGAGCACCAGCCTCCTCCCCCCAAAAATTGAAAATCAAGAAGAGTGGCGATCAACGTCTCCGTCATTGGCCCACGTGGTGTTGGGAAGACAACGTTGATTCAGAGATTTTGTCACCTCGTGGGGGCCAACTTCCCTAGCTCTGAGCCCCATCGAGGTCATCTCTCCACTTGAGTCAATTTTGAGGTGAGTTTAATCAATGTTCTTTTAAATAATTTAACTTCCTATTTAGATTTTCATTCCCTTTTATACATTGGTTTATCGAGTTATATTCTATTGTCTGACGTAGTTGGATGGGGTTGGTGTTTCATTAAACATATGGGATGGGTACAACAGTGGCTTGGCAGTAAGTCTAAATTTAATTGGATCATATCTTTTATTTGTGGACTCCTTGAATTTTGAGTTTTTGGAACATAAACTACTAATACTGTTTACTTTTATGTGATCTAAAGACTATGAAATCTAAAGAGTGTATGAAAACCCATGTTAAAATTTCTTGTTTGTGTATAATTAATTTGGGTCATACTTCATGTGTGGTTTTCTTGAGTTTTGAGTTGTTCAAACGTGAACTGTGAAAATAATGTTTACTTTTATGTGATCTAGAGACTGTATGAAAACTAATATGAAAATTTATTGTTTGTGTATAATTTGGGTCATATTTTGTGTTTCTTGAATTTTGAGTTTTTGGAGCATGAACTGTGAAAATACTGTTTACGTTCATGTGATCTCGAGATTGTATGAAAACCTATATGGGCTTCTTAAGAACTTACAGGCTTTAGTTTCTTGGATAATATTTGTGCTTCAGCTTATTATGTGAAATTTTGAATTGCATTCGGTGGGTGCTTTTATTTATGTAGAGTGTATGAAGACCAAGGTCTCCTCATGGGGTTCTTGATACATTAATTCCCTACGTTCTTGAAGTGTTAATTCCTTTAATTTGTTATAATGTGAGTTTTAAATTGTTTTCAGTTGGCAAAAGGAGTTCTTCTGCTGTTTGATCCATTGGAGGACAAGCCTTTCGGATGGTTAAGAGGCAGTGATTAGAAAAATTCGCACAGGGAATACTCGTGTCGTCATTTTGCTAGTCGGTACTAAAGCCGATGACAATATTGATACTATAGGCGGACGTGCGATCGAGTTTGTTGAACGTCTCGGACTGCTGCCTTGCAATTATCACAGCTCGGCTGAGCAGATGATTAACATAAGACAACCCTTTGAAGAATTGGTCCGAGGAATCTTGCACACGTTTGGGTCGCCAGAATCTTGGTTTACCATGTAAGTACTTATTTTTAAAGTTGGGTTTATTCAATATTGATCCCTGCTTTTGAGAGATCACCACGTCATGAGTTAATTAGATCCTGTCCGATTAAAAAAATTAATTGTATTGTTTTTTACGAGAAATTTGAAACTCGGGAGCAGGAGGCAGAAGATTACGAGCACCAGACTCCTCCCCCTAAGAATCGAAAATCAAGAAGAATGACGATCGACATCTCCATCATTGGCCCACGTGGCGTTAGGAAGACAGCGTTGATTCGTAGATTTTGTCACCTCGTGGGGGCCAAATTCCCTAGCTCTAAGCCCCATCGAGGTCATCTCTCAACTCGAGTTAATTTTGAGGTGAGTTTAATCAATGTTCTTTAAATTAATTTAACTTCCTAATTTTGATTTCCATTCCCTTTTATATATTGGTTTATCGAATTATATTCTATTGTCTGACGCAGTTGGATGAGGTTGGTGTTTCATTGAACATATGGGATGGGTACAGCAGTGGCTTGGCGGTAAGTCTAAATTTAATTGGATCATATCTTTTATTTATGGACTTCTTGAATTTTGTGTTTTTGGAACATAAACTTTGAATACTGTTTACTTTTATGTGATCTAAAGACTGTATGAAAACCCATGTTAAAATTTCTTGTTTGTGTATAATTAATTTAGGTCATACTTCATGTGTGGTTTTCTTGAGTTTTGAGATGTTCGAACATGAACTGTGAAAATAATGTTTACATTTATGTGATCTAGAGACTGTATGAAAACCCATATGAAAATTTCTTGTTTGTGTATAATTTGGGTCATATTTTATGTGTGGGCTTTTTGAATTTTGAGTTTTTGGAGCATGAACTGTGAAAATACTGTTTACTTTCATGTGATCACGAGATTGTATGAAAACCCATATGGGCTTCTTGAGAAATTACAGGCTTTAGTTTCTTGGATAATATTTGTGTTTTCGCTTATGATGTGAAATTTTGAATTGCATTCGGTGAGTGCTTTTATGTATGGAGAGTGTATGAAGACCAAGCCCTCCTCGTGGGGTTCTTGATACATTAATTCACTAGGTTCTTGAAGTGTTAATTCCTTTAATTTGTTATAATGTGAGTTTTAAATTGTTTTCAGTTGGCAAAAGGAGTTCTTCTGCTGTTTGATCCATTGGAGGACAAGCCTTTCGGATGTTTAAGAGGCAGTGATCAGAAAAATTCGCACAGGGAATACTCGTGTCGTCATTTTGCTAGCCGGTATTAAAGCCAATGACAATATCGATACAGTCGGCGGACGTGCGATCGCGTTTGTTGATCGTTTCGGGCTGCTGCCTTGCTATTATCACACCTCGGCCGAGCAGATGATTAACATAAGACAACCCTTTGAAGAATTGGTCCGAGGAATCTTGCACACGTTTAGATCGCCAGAATCTTGGTTTACCATGTAAGTACTTATTTTTAAGTTGGGTTTATTCGATATTGATCCCTGCTCTTGAGAGATCACTACGTAACAAGTTAATTAGATCCTGTCCGATTACAAAAAATCAATCGTATTGTTTTGTTACAAGAAAATTGAAACAAGGGAGCAGGAGGCAAAATGGTGATCGACGTCTCCGTCATTGGCCCACGTGGTGTTGGGAAGACAAAGTTGAATATAAATTTTCTTTATCGAGTATATCTGTATCCGTATCCGAAATGAGTAAGCGGATATGGATAAGGTAAGCTTCATATCCGAGCCATATCCGGACCGAATGCACCCCTACAAAGGAGGGACTCTCTACTGGATAGTGTATGTGCCAGAAGAACAAGGAGGCTACTGCAGGGCTATACTTATGATCGACATCAAACATGATGTGTTTGAAGTTATACCCCTCATACCTGCACTATTTAATGGTTGTTCTATACGTTTGCATGAATTAAAGAGGGCGCGTTTGTGTCGTGACAGATACAGAGATTATGAAGATACGGATGCTTGAGAATAGTAACATTTAAATGGGTCCGAGTGTTGAGTTTCTGTACAAAAAAATTGCTTGAGGTGCTACTCAGGTCTTTTTGCAGGATTACACCAACTTATCGGCATTTCAGGTGACAAGATTCTGCTCGAGTTCTTCGCTGACAGTTCAGTCAGAATTTGTTGTCATGATCTTCAGAATGATACCTGCGACGAGATCTGGTAGGGAACCGGCCGTACTCTTTTCTTTCATAGGGAAAGTCTTGTTCGTAGCCAAGAAAATTGATAGGCGTACAGCTTGAATAATGGAAGTTCAATTTCTCAAACTTTTAATCGACTTGTAA